GTGGTTTGACAAGCTGATTCTAAAATAAAGTGTATATAGAAAGGCAAAATAACTAGAATAGCCAAAACAATTCTGAAAAAGAAAAAATTGGAGGACTCATTCGACCCAATTTCTAGATATTATAAAGCTATAGTAATTGAGTCTATGTGGTATTGGAGAAAAAGATAGACATATAATTGGAACAGAATAGAGCATCTATAAATAGACCCACGCAAATATAGTCAACTGAATTTTATGAAAGACAATTCAGTTGACAAAGTATAGTCTTTTCAACAAATGGTACTGAAACAATTGGATGTCCATATGTAAAAAAATGAGCCATGATATACACATTTTACATTAACAAGTAAATGAGTCATGGACCTAACTGTAAAACATAAACCTTCTAGGACAGTGGTTTCAAATGTCTCCCTGGGACATTTTGGCAATATCTGGCGACATTTTTGTTTGTCACTGCTTCAGGGAGTACGCTTCTGGTATCTAGTGGATAAAGACCAGCAATGCTGCTGCACATCCAGCAATGCACAGCACAGCCACCCCCCACAACAAAGAATGCTAATTTCTTAGTTTGGATAAATGTGCCATGGTTATGTAAGCTGTTAGCATTAGAGAGGACTTGGTAAAGGGTAAATGGGAACACACTGTACTATCTTTGCAACTCTTCTGTACATCTGAAATTATTTCAAAATGACAAGATAAGCAAAGCTTGTATACCACCACCACTTAAAGGCAACAGACTGCTTCAAACATTTGATAATTTCATAATTTATTTCTATGGCAGTGTCATGTACTATAGCTGAAGTATTCTGGTTTGATCTCTTGCAAAATCTCTTGAACCCTTCAATGAAATTGTAAATATTACCAGTCATGTGTTATGTGTTATATGTTGAAATTTTTGAGACCCATAAAATATTTTCAAGTATCTTCTATTCAAAGGGATCTTCCTGGGGCCGGCCCATTGGCGCAGTAGTTAAGTTTGCACGTTCTGCTTCAGCGGCCCGGTGTTCACTGGTTCAGATCCCGGGTGCGGACATGGCACTGCTTGGCAGGCCATGCTGTGTTAGGCATCCCACATATAAAGTAGAGGAAGATGGGCATGGATGTTAGCTCAGGGCCAGCCTTCCTCAGCAAAAAGAGGAGGATTGGCAGCAGATGTTAGCTCAGGACTAATCTTCCTCAAAAAAAAAAAAAGATCTTCCTTAATCATCTATTCTAAAATACCACCTCTCTCCACCAGTGAATCTATCTCAGTTTTTTTCTTTTCCGTAGAATTTTTTTCTGTAAGAATTTTGTTCACTTGTTGACTGTTTCCTCTCCTGGGATATATGCTCCATGAAGGCAGGGACTTTGTTGTACCCCGAGGACCAGAATGGGCACATTAGAGATGGATGCTTTATAAATATTTGTTGAGTGAATTAATTATCTGTATTTGTGTTGCATCTGCCCATTAAGTGGTCTGTTTTCAAAAGTTAGAGCTGCTGCTTTAAACCCACTTGGCTGTGAATATAGTAGTCCCCAACCCCAGTATCTAATTTACTCTGAATGAAAGTAACACCTCAAGCATAAAGATGGATTAGTGTACGTATGTATGACAAATCCATTTCCTTTCTGCTGGGAATATTAGGCAAGGACTGAGAGGGTAGACAATTGTTTTATACTTTTCTGGCAGATCTTTCTGGTTCTACTGGAAAGTTTTTACTTCACCTGATTGGATGCTCTGCAAACCCAGCTCCTTTTATTTGTCATAGTATTGGGGCCATTTCCAGAAAAATTTGAGTTTCTGTCCAAGTAAATTTTTAAGTAAAATATTCCCATTTAAATCAGATTTCAGACAGGAGAAAATTTGTGATACGCATCAAAGGTGGAAATTGGCAAACATGCCCATCTCCTCCATGGTAGCCTTTGTAGGGTATTGAGTTATTTATTGAGCTGAGCAGTGGAGGCTCAAATGAAGGAATCGCCAACCCCACCTGGGACAGTGTGGAAAGGCTTCAGAAAGGGTGGGACCCTTAGAGTGGATCTTGAAGGAAAAGAAAGAAATCAGCCAGCAAGAGCAGCAAGCCCTAAATTGTAAATGTTGCCACTTGTCTTGACTTTCTTCATGTAAGATATGGATAGAATATAATTCACTTTTAGAATAGTATTAAGGAACACTAACCTTTCTCCCACTTAGAAAATTTCTATCTTATACAGAAAAATACACTTCTTACCATTTTATGTAGAAAGGATGCAAAACATACAAGTGAAAACAAACCCCAGGTTATTCCCAAACCAAACTAACCATTTTGCATATTTCTCAAATACTAAATAATTTGTGAATCTAGGTGAATACATATATTTTGATATTTAGACATTAAAAAACTGTTGGAAGTGGCAATTATCAATGTGTTTACCTATTTTGTTTCTCTTGTCCTATAATATTTCCACAGATTCTATTATTTGGTCACAATCAAGACTGAAAGGTGTTTCACAACAAAGTTTAGAAATGAAAGAAAGCTCCATGGAGACTGTGAGAACACAGAGCTGTGGGGTCATGTTATTTTAAATTAGTTGTGTTCTATGGTCCTATCATATCTGTCAGTAAATTATATTTTGTAGAAATGTATTTTCTGGATTATTTAAATAAATTTTATTAGTAGACTAGTTTAATGCAATTCATCTTTATTATTAACTACCATATGTCTGGCTTTTCCCATTAGGAGCTGAAGGGAACACAAAAAAATCATATATTCTTTCAGGGGAGAGAAAACATTTTAAACAAACGCAAATAGAAAACAAATTATTTAAATACTAATTGTATTTAAGATAAAATATTAAGATGAATCTGATCAAATAATAATGCATGATACAGGCATTTAAGTACTATGGGCAACTAAAGGAAGAAATATTAACATTATCTAGAGTTATCATGGAAGCCATAGCAATTGAAGAGGATCTGGATAGAATTTGGGAGAACTTTCTAAGCAGTAAGAACATAAAGACAGAAAGACATAAAGACTGCATGGACAGCGTGCCCTGAAGACTGACTTAGAGTAGAGGATGTGTGTTTCTGGAGAAATATGTACAGTAGATTTGATGAAATGTCCTTCTTAAACTGAGTGTCAATGGAAGTATGGCCTAAAGCGAAGAAACTTTTCTGGTTTTAATAGAACTATCTTAATCCTGAAAGAAGTATTTCCTTCAGCAGATTCCTTGAAAGCCTGTTTGAAAAGACTTTTAACTGAGTCCCTTTGTATAAAGCAATATTCCCCAAAGTGTGTTAGGTTAATGGTTTTTACATAAAAATGATGTAGTCAAGTTTTGGAAATGCTACATTAGGATTAAACCTTTTTTAAAAAAAGCTATATGAATTTAGAGCTTTTAATATACTTACATGAATTGCAAATCTCCAAGAGAAAACTTATCTGACCTCAGAACTCAGAATCCTCGCTCTTTTGCTTGCTTGCTTTTTTTTTTTTTTTTTTTTTTTTGTAGCATCATCAATAAGGATTGGGGTTTCTTGGAACAAACTTTAGAAAACGCTGATTTAAAGCATCCACATACACATTTGAAAGAAAATGCTTATTGAGATAAAACAAGTCTCTAATTGGGGAGTAGAAATAATAAAAACATTGTATTCAAGATCATTATTAACCAGCCTGCCTTGTCTCTACTTACCTTGCTAATGGCTAGGAAGGGAAGAAGAGAAATACAACTATAATTGCCTGGTATTTTTTTTCCAAACATTTGACACACAGTGTATGTTGAGTAAACTTTTTTGAGTGTGAATTTTCTCTAAAATTCAAATGTATCTTAAACAAATGATAAAAACCAAGGGAGAAAATTTTAATAACTTTTTTTTTTAAAGATTTTATTTTTTCCTTTTTCTCCCCAAAGCCCCCCAGTACACAGTTGTATATTTCTTGTTGTGGGTTCCTCTAGTTGTGGTATGTGGGACGCTGCCTCAGCGTGGTTTGATGAGCAGTGCCATGTCCACGCCCAGGATTCGAACCAACGAAACACTGGGCCGCCTGCAGCGGAGCGCGCGAACTTAACCACTCGGCCACGGGGCCAGCCCCAATTTTAATAACTTTTAACAAGCATTTTAAAATATCGCTCCTTATTTTGCCACAATCTCTACATTTTTTTCCAACAGTGTTAGGAGTGTTTTAGGATAGGCTTCAAGGAAATACTTTCAAGCACAGTTTAAAGAGTTTACCTTTAGAAACTGAAGATTTTCTCATTTCTATAGCTGATGGTTTACCAACAGCACCAGATCATCAGAGCAGAGGTGTACCACAGAGTTGACCGTGTTTTATGGCAGAAGGAAGCACAACCAACTCGGAGAAAGTTCATGTGAAGAAACAAAGGGCTTGGCGAAGAATCATTTGCTCCTAAAAAGTGTTAGTCAACTCCCTTGTCTGGAGTTATAATGAAAACCAAACAGAAAACATATTTGACTCAAAGCCTCATTAATGAGGCAGTCTGAATTCTATACAATTGTCTGTACAATTCTATACAGCTATCTGAAAGTCCATAAGAGGTGGGGAGAGTGAGAAAAAGGTGGACAGACAGACATGAACCGAGAGGAAGGTCTTACCACCACACATGGAGGGTGGCTCCTGAGCATCATCTGTAGGTCAAGTAAAGCCAGGTGGGAGTGAGCTGTGAAGGAGCCTGAAGGATGTGAGTTCAGCAAACTGCAAACTCATGGCTGTTTGAGGACTCTCGCCTCGCTAGAATAGTGTTTTCATTTCCCTTTAAAAGTAAGTGAAGACTGTCGGCAGATCTTTCTAAACTGGGCCTGGTATATACAAAAGCTTCTTGTAAAAGACTAAAATTTAACACAGAAAGTGAATTAGTGTTCCTGTTCTTACACAGTTTTAGGGTTCTGGTCTCATGCACGTTCTTGGTAATAAGGTATTAAAGGTCATTTATTCAATGAAAGTGAGAGATCAAATAGTGATGGAAGATTAAAAATCTTGAAAGTCTTGTTGAGATCCATTAAGTGAATCTGACAGTGTTAATACATAGTCATTTATTATAAGAGAAGAAAGGTTATCCAAAATAAGCGATTTGTTTGTAATACTATATGAAAATATTTTTATATACAGATAATAGTGTCAAAATTAAATATACACATTTCATTAATTAAAAGGCCAACATATATTATTCTCTTAAAAATATACTTACCGAATTGCAAACTCATTTAGACAAGTTTTATTATACATAAATGACAAAAGTAACTCAGTACTACTGTTTAGCATCCTTAGAACAGCTGACTTTCTGTTTTGCGAAATTATTCTTTATTTTCATTTTAAAACATTTGCTATACCATTTATTGTAGGCACTGCGTTATACATTCATGTGAATTACATCTCTTGATATCTCTCTTAAGTATCTTGGACTCCTTTATGCTGCTCCTTCTGTAAGCTATATGACTCTTGTTCTCATGGGCATTATCCATTTCTCACTGTTAATTCTGAGATTTCCAGCACAGAAGACAATTTCCAGTCTCGTTGCGGTACACTGATGCATAGTGGGCCGTAAAGTTATTTTGATAATAAAGCAATGTTAATTTTTAATTCTTGTAACCTTTATATACTTCATAGATTTTATATATCTTCTGAACTTTTTAAACAGGTTTAAAAAGTGCTGTCGCAAGTAACATCTTACATGGATAGTCTTACAAAAATCAGCACAGAATTAATACCGATTGGTATATGTCCGCACATATATGGAATAGTTGTTGATCGCAGCATTGTTTCCATTGTTTACACCCATCTTCTAGTATTACAGTATGGATTTCTCAATTGCTCTAATCCGTTTTTACCAGGATGCATTCAGTAACCTCTAGAAGGCATTCTACCCTGAAAAATTGCATGAGCAGATAGATTCTTGGAGGATACAACTGAAGTTTATCTGTTTTTATGTTGCCACTCCATATTTTTCAGTGTTCTTTAGCGTCCCTCAAAATTTTATTCCAACAAGTTTTTATCTTTTGTAGTAGTATCTTTAGGAAACACAAGTCATTCTGTTTTTTCTGTTCCTTTAAAGATTTATTCTCTTCCTAGAGAAATATGTAAAAGAAGTTTTAAGTTCACATTTTTATAAAAACACACATTTAAAAATATTCAATCTTTAATTTCTATCATGTTAGGTTATAATGAAAATTTGATGTAATGAAAAAGAAGAATCTTGCATAATATGTATATATTTTTTTGAGGAATATTGGCCCTGAGATAACATCCACCCCCAATCCTCCTGTTTTTTTGCGGAGTAGCATCTGTGCCCATCTTCCTCTATTTTGTATGTGGGATGCCTGCCACAGCATGTCTTGACAAGCAGTGTGTTGGTCTGCGCCTGAGATCCGGGCCGGCGAACCCCAGGCCACCGCTGAAGCAGAGTGCACGAACTTACTGCTGTGCCACCAGGCCGGCCCCCATAATATTTTTTTAAACTACAGTTTCTAACTATAATTGGGATAATTGATGTGTAGGCAATTCAGTTTTGTGATTTAAGATTTAGGATAAATTAGAGAGCTCTGTCAGGTGGCTGCCATTTTCACCACTGCAACAGTGGACATAACAATGCTTTTTAAACTTTTGTAGGAAAGATATTTGTACATTACTCAACTGAGTTTTTTTAATATGGAAAAAATGTATTTTTTGTGCAAGGAATAGTTAACACTGAAAATATTTGGAGTATTTTGGCGAAGATGATTAATAAGGATCTACCCGATTGGACCTTGTGCCCTAAGCTCCACCCCAACACTCTGGTCTTTGCTAGAGTATGAAAGACGCCTGCCTCATAAGCTAGTTTTCAGTGCCTGAGGGGAAATCCTAAAAAGGGCTATCTGTACAACCGCCAGAGAGTGGAGACAGAGATTCCTCACGTGGAATAGCCAGAGAAGGGAGTACCTCTGCCTATACTCAGTTATAGTCCTGTGAGCCCCTGGGCAGTGGGAATACAACAGAGTAGGGTAATTCTTCATTTAGATAGCAACCAATTATCGGGTGTTTTCTACATCAGATATGCTCAATGCTTTACATACATTATTTCATGTTATCTGCTTAATAACTATGAAATTCATGACTTTACCTCCTTTCACAGATGAGGAAACTGAGCTGCAAAGAGGATAAATAAGCTGCCACAGTCACATGTCAAGAAAATATAATGACTGGGTCTTGAGCTCGTCTATCTTGTTTTTAGTGTAATCACAAATTTGGATCTCTTTTAGTTATATATTTAGTAACACTAACACATAGCCTTTATATAATACACTTAAAAGATTAGACAACAGATTTCAAAGATAAATATGAAGACGAATTTCTCATATTCTCTTTAATGAGGGTCCCAGGATATCATTAAACAAGACAAATTGAAGTTGATGTGACAAAGCAGATTTGAAATACGTAGATGAGAAAATTTCATGACTTTTCCTGACCAAGATTGAACATTTATTAAAAAGACAAAAACAAAGAACCATGATTTTAGCTCTGGGAATACAGAGGTTATCTCCCTTTTATAAACATTTTTTCCAAATTTTCTTAGCCAGAAGCCCTCAATACATGTTGTTCATTTATTCATTTCAACTCTTCCACTTTAGGTGGAATAAAGGTTTCCTGCATCCCAAGGTTGCAAACTCACCCTGCTTCTCTAAGAGGAGTAAGGATTTCCATGCTGCCATATATATATCGGTCAAATAACATTATAATAATAATGGAAATGTGAAAGAAGAACCCGTCATCCTCATGAAACAGGTGTCTTCATTTTCCCTTGTCCCATCCTAATTAATATTTATAGCATTTTAATATTTAATAAGATTTAATTAAATATTGTGGCTTTTTCATTCATAAATATTTTCTATATTGCTATATAATTTTGTGCAATAATGTATGTGTATAAATTTATAAATACAGAATATTCACATACTACTATACATATATAGTATACATTGTACACTCTACACTAGTAAAATAGGTATAAAAGGGGTTCTCATTTTTAATTTGTATTTCTTTACTAACAAGGATGGCTTTTTTCTTCATCTACTTGGTTTCTAGTTTATTTTCTCTACTATAAATAGTTTATTCATGTCTTTTGTCTATTATCAATTATCAGTGTTTTAATTTTGTTGCTTTTGCAAAAAAAAATCAATGCTCTGATACTTTCCCTAGCTGTTTTTATTTTAAAGTAGCGTCTTTTAAGAATTTAGTTCCAAGCGATCCACTTTCTAGGGGATATCTCCCTTCTCCTTTTATTAACATTATAATGAATATTTTCAAAATCAACCATAAAGAAGAAAATAATTCAAAGAGAAACATTAAAGAATTAAGTTGAGTAAAAAGCTGATAAAGAAAGAAAATTATACAGTCACTCTCACCAAATTCTTAGTGGGTTGGGCTTCACCTAGAGAAGGTGGTTTTCTTCCTTTACCCTTAAAAACAAAGTCACATTTACAATATTGAATATTAATCCTTTACTGCTCCTCCCAATAATGTGATTGCTAATTTTCATATTACTCTCAGCCCATCTAAGCTCTTGGAGAATCTACTTTAAATTCTTCTTTGTTAGTGGGGCAGAATACTAATTTCATTTAGAAACAGAATATCGGGGAAAGGGAAGCAGCAAAGGAAGTGAGTCTTGTGAATACTCTGGATCCATAATTTTGCAGGTATGCCCAGAACTGTGTTAATGGCTATGAGGTATAAAAAACTAACATATAAGGGTATACTAGCAGAGACAAAACCAGAATTTTAATCAACATGAAAATAAAGTTAGCATTAAATTGTTAAATTCTGACCATAAATTTTACTAAGCTTTACCCATCAGAAGCACAATGAAATGAGCAACAGTGAAAGCTTGTAGCATGCTTGACTCATGAAGAAAATGTAATATAGCTGACCGTCTTTAACATCTTGCCTTATCATTTCAAGAAAAAGGTGGACTGTATGAGGTTGGTTAATTTTTTAACATAATTTTGTGTTTGTGTGTGTGTGTGAGGAAGATTCGCCCTGAGCTAACATCTGTGCCAATCTTCCTCTATTTTGTATGTGGGATGCCTCCACAGCATGGCTTGATGAGCAGTGTGTAGGTCTGTGCCCAGGATCCGAACCCATGAACCCCATGCTGCTGAAGCGGAGAGCCCAAACTTAACCACTATGCCACTGGGCTGGTCCCCAACATAATTTTATTTAATTTCAAGATTTAAATTATTTGTATATTTTCTTTCTCTACCATTAGTCGGCTTTGGAACATGGTGATCCATGCAAATCTCAGCACATGAGAGGAGGAATTGCAAATGTAGAGCATACCTAAAACCCTTACCCATTCCAAGGCCAAGAGGTAATATCACTAGTTTGTTCTGTGATCTTTTCAGTTGAGCCCTGACTTGAGGCTTATACCCAACATAGTGTTTCCAACAGTCACTACTAAGCAGTTGGATGTGTAAGCACCATGAAATCTATCTGCCATTCCTGCATTAGACAGTACTTTGAAATCACTATAACTAAGAATTAAGAGCTGGTAGGCTGGAGCATGAATTCTTTATGAATCTTGAGCTTAGCCTTGAAGGATGCATAGAACAGGATAGACCAGATTTATAGAAAAGAGAACAGTAGAAGTTCCATATAAGGGACTTAAATAAGGGACCAAATTGGAAATAAGCTTGGCAAATCCAGGACACCGAGAGGAGACCAGCTTATCAAGTAGATAACATAATGATGGATAAAGTGGCCCAATTTATATCATCTCTACTTTCACCACTGTCAGTAGGGCTGAAAGACAATCTTACCATCTTACCATTTTACCTTCTGTGGGCAACAATTGGTATTTAAAAAATAAAAACACACAACCCTTTTTGTATCATAAAAATTTAAAAAAATTCTCTTAAAAAATCATAAGAAACCTTTTGGCTTTGTGTGGCAGCTGGTAAAATTTCTGAAGGGGGGTAATAGTAATAATAATGATATAACATTTATTGAACCTTTCTAGTACTAAGCACTTAACATGAATTATGCCATTTAACTTTTTCAACATCCTATAATGTAGATGCTATATTTTTCTCCATTTTGCAGATGAAAAAACTTTGTCTAGTCTCAAGATAATATCTTCCAAATTTTATTTTGTTGTTTATATTTCATATCTGCTAGCAGAGAAATAGGGAAAATTAGCCCTATATTTTTGAAAATTATTGAAGCAAAAAAGTAGAAAATTGTTGGACATATATATGCCCAGTTTTAACACAGAAAGATGTTTGTTAAATATGTTTGATTAGCTGTTTTATTGGCTATGAGTTCTTATAAATGTGTGCATCTATGAATTAAAATTATTGTTTTAGACATAAAAATTTACCATTTTCCACCCAACTTATCACACTAGCCTCCTTGAAAGTTCTTATGACAATGAAATATGCATTCATTTATATTTACTCGCTTTTCCTAAACTATTTGGCCCAGCCAAGAGATGAGTCGGTACTTTCAAACCTGAGGCCTTCCTCCTCTAGAGTTGAGTAAATGCATCTCACTTTAAGTATCATAAGCTCTTAAAATGCTGTGACAACGGGTATGACTATTAGAGAATGATAGGATGCTATTCACGAGAGTAGTTTACATTTTCATTCGAAGTAAACAGTCCTCAGCTTACCTTGGTGGTGCAGTTCAACAGCTTTAATGTGCCCTGTGAAACTCTTGCTAAGTGGAGATTGAAATCCTCACTGATATTCATTTTAAGAAATTGCCTCATCTTGCGAGCAGCACGATTTAAAAACAGAGGTTCCTATTACAGAAAAACAATCAGAAGGGCGGTGGTTCAAATAAAATATTAAGAAATGATAAACTTTCTTAAGGAGCCTAAAGCCAGAGCTGTATTGTAAATAATGCCCCACCTCCACCCCAGCTTTCTATTCCAGTTAATCACATGACTGACAGGTAACTAGACTGAAACTGTCTAGCTTCCAGGTGACAGCTTGACATGCCTAGAATTGGCTTAATAATTATCTGACTTTTTAAAGTCTCTTTTCTCCATTATATGTGTGTGATCTTATTGCTTAAGGGTGAATATATGACAAGTTTATTCCATTTTAAACAAGATAGCCAAAGGAGAGTATTTTTGGAAACAACATAACAGAAGGTATGTGTGGTTTTTCTCTTTGTTACTACTTCGCACCTTTTGAGCTATGGATGAATAGCTGGCAATAAGAAAATAAGGGGCCATATTCACCTAAAACAAGTTTTTCCGATATTTAAGGTAGGACATTAAAAAAAAAGTTAACTCAGCTATTGTAAGTTTAAAAAAGACTATTGAATAGCATACTAGTTTCTGTAGAAAGAAATGACACAAACGTTTACTGGAAGTTTTGTAAATTGTAATATTATGCCAACTAGAAGTGGTAGTGGTTTGAAGATAAGAAAATATTGGAAGAAAAAATTTCAAAATGCCTACAAATAAATTATGCCCATGACTTATGTTTGTGTGTGCAAGCAGTCACTCTAGCAAGCAATTTTTCTGCCAAAAAATTTCAGAAATAAGAGATATGTGTCTTTAAATTCAGCAGTTCTTCTGGTATTTTCAAAATGGAAAATGAAACGCTAAAATAGAAAAGAGTATTTGTCAAATAAGCATAGGGCTATTTATAAAATAAAAGCATAAATGAAGACCATAGTATAACTTAATGGATCAGTGGGAATTGTCTGACTAGAACCAAAGGAATATGTTATTGATATAATCAATATAATTATCTAACAGAGATACAAAAAAAAAACTATGCCTCTATGAAATCAAGCTCGAATGACATTTAGACTCCAAATAATTATCATTACCTTATTATCATCACATGAATGTTTTTTAAAAAAGTTAGATTCATTATTCAGGCAATTGCTATCAATTTCTATCATGCTGTCCTGTAATAAATAATATAAAATAATATGTTAAACTGGGGACTTTTCTAGTATGTAGTAATTATAAAAATAACAATGTTATAATACTTGGTATTCATATGTACATTTTAAGGAAAATAAGTTTAGCCTGGCTCAGCTGACTAGGCATGAAGAATAGCTTTCTATAATTGAATCGTAAACAAATATATATGCAAACCCTCACATATTTAGAGCTCCCCCCAGACTCCATAATTTAACCACAGAAATCACTGAGAGACTCTGGCTCATCTGGGAAAATAAAAGTACCTATTTTAGAAGTGACACTATATAGACAAAATCCTATAAGTTTTGAAATCATGAAGTTGAGAAGCATTTAAGAGGTTATTTGGTCCAATTTCCTGCTACTCTCAAACAGCAACAAAGGGAATTTACATCAGAAAGAAGGGAAAACCTATTGACGGTGAAGGTAAAGCTGAAATTCATTCTACAGTATTGTTAGCCATCCAGTTTGTCTGGGACATTTGAGGTGGAATTTTGCAGAGAAACAATGGGATTGAATGTGTGTGTATTGTGATGTAGGAGCGGGAAGGCAAACTGGTACGTGCTCATTTTTCATTTCTAAGGAACGCAGTATTAGAAGGTGGGGATTACCTGAATCAAGAACTTAGTTGACATATTAGGATGTGGACTCTCTTATGCACAGGGTTAGACTAGCTCTGTCCAGCATCCTAGCAGTTCCATGCTATCAGAACTTCTAGAAGGACTTCAAGTAATTTAGCCTATATGTTGTCACCAAAGAAACAGGATAAAAAGTGGAGTAATGGTGGCATTTAGTCATGGGCTTCTAATCTTCATCTGCCTCTCAGAAAAGTGTGCATTACTCTTGTCACCTGTGAAAAGCATAAATGGTCTCTGGGTTTATCCTGACTTTAAATGTACACACTACCCTTTTTACCTGCAGGAATTAGTGTCTGAACACGTAAACATTCACTTAACCATTCAACACTTACTACGGGCCAATGTGCAAAGTCCTCTGTCAAGCCCTATGGGGAAACAAGGATAAGAAAACACAGTCCCAGTTTCTTGTGCTGTTTTATATAAAGGGTGGATGCTGCATCCCTTGGAAAATTTACATTATTTCTTTTTTTTTTTCTTTTTCTTTTTTTTTTCTTTAAAGATTGGCACCTGGGCTAACAACTGTTGCCAATCTTTTTTTTTGTTTTCTGCTTTATCTCCCCAAACCTCCCCTGTACACAGTTGTATATCTTAGTCGCATGTCCTTTCTAGTTGTGGGATGTGGGACACTGCCTCAACGTGGCCTGACAAGCAGTGCCATGTCTGTGCCCAGGATCCGAACCCTGGGCCGCCACAGCAGAGTGCGCGAACTTAACCACTGGGCCACGGAGCCGGCCCCTACATCATTTCTTATCTTTGGAAAAGTATGCTTTTGTAAACAGGAAATTTGTTAGTGTCAACCACCCCAGTCATACTGCAAATATCTCAAGTGCAAACAGATATATTTTCTGTAAGTATCCTCATGTTGCCACATTATACACATTCCCGAAAAATCATGGAGAACTAATATTTGCCTATTAAAGAATTTTCCTATTGACTTCCATTTAACCCCAAGAGGGATAATAAATCATACATACATTTCTCTTTGATAAAATATGCATTTATTTTTTGCCATGCCATCCTTCAAAAAAAAAATGACAACTCTGCAGCTAATCTGTATGGTATTTTCCGATTTACCAAAAATATGGTATGAAAACATGCCACAGAATTAGTACCCATTTCTTGGAGCATTTTAACAAATTGCGTGACACATGAATATCTGAAAAGCTGTATTCGTTAAACTGTTGCTCCAAGTATTTAACAAAACTCATTTTTGGCAAATACAGAAAGGTAATGTTATACCAGAGACTTGTTTGCCAAATGTTTATTACAGTATATAAAGATGTTATTATACACTTACAGGGTTGACTCCTATAAAAGGCACATTTATTATTGACTAGTTGACTTGAGTGCATTTTATGAATCAATTTAACATAAGTGTACATGAATGCCAATTACAGTTGCTTTCTGAAATTCTTTTCATTCAAGCCCTATGAGAAGGATGGCTCAGATTAAGATTTATAGAAGCAGGGAGTTGGAAAGAACCTTATGTACCCATCTTTTGACTTAAATAGTAGACTTACTCTACCAATAGCAGTTTCTTATAGGCATCTTGAAATCTTTGAAGATTTCTTCATATTTATTATGAATATGGAAAATAACGAGAAAAAAAGCCAAGATCGCATAGACTTGGAACTGCAATATTTTCCAATATTAAACATTATGTTTATAAGCTGTTCCTAAAATACATAATGCCCTTTCAACTTGTAAATTTACATCTTCTTTCATTTCAGCATAGTTTTCTTCTATCTTTTAATTTTTTTCTATTGCATTTGTAATGGTCTCTTCTTCAAAAACACTAATAGATTTTCTATTTCACTTTTTCTTTCTTTTTTTTTTCTTTATTTTGTTTTATTTTTTTCGGATGTACATCATATTTCGAACACTAATTATAGTGCATCCCCTCACATGTGACCCTAATCACCCCTTTTGCCCTCCCCCCTGCCCCCTTCCCCAATGGTAACCACCAGTCCAATCTCCAATGCTATGTATTTTGGGGTTTTTTTGGTCGTTTTTATCTTCTACTTATGAGTGAGATCATATGGTATTTGACTTTCTCCCTCTGACGTATTTCACTCAGCATAATACCCTCAAGTTCCATCCATGTTGTCACAAATGGCTTGATTTCATCTTTTCTTATGGCTGAGTAGTAGTCCATCGTGTATAAATACCACATCTTCTTTATCCATTCGTCCCTTGATGGGCACCTAGGTTGCTTCCAAGTCTTGGCTATTGTGTATAATGCCGCAATGAACATAGGGGTGCAAGTATCTTTATGCCTTTGTGTTTTCAAGTTCTTTGGATAAATACCCAGCAGTGGAATAGCTGGATCATATGGTAGATCTATCCTTAATTTTCTGAGGATACTCCAAACTGCTTTCCATAGTGGCTGCACCAGTTTGCACTGCCACCAGCAGTGAACAAGGGTTCCCTTCTCTCCACACCCTCTCCAACATTTGTTGTTTCCTGTCTTGTTAATTATAGCCATTCTGACTGGAGTGAGGTGATACCTCATTGTAGTTTTGATTTGCTTTTATATATTTATCTTTGATTTTTTAAAATTTCATTTTATGTGGCTTTTCTCCACCATGTCTTCCATGTGCCTGTTCTAATGGGGCACTCATTTCTGCATTTTATTTTATTCTCCATTTTTCCCCCTAAATCTAGACAGCTCGCTTTCATTCCTTCTATTATCTCTTCTCTGATACTGTATTATTTTTAGCTCTTTTTACTTTGGTTTCTTAGAGAATGTTAAGAAGAAGAATTTTGGCATTTTCTACTGCTTTCGTGGATAATTAACCTGTGATCTGAATTCTTCATTTTTCTTATGTATGTATTCATTTGACTATTTATTTGTTCATTCATTTGTTAATTTATTTTGGTAGTATCAATACATAGTGTTTCCTTTCTGATTTTCTGATGATTTTTTGGGAGGATGCTAAAATATATTAGATTATTGTTCAGCCAATATTCAACCCCTACCCCATGGGAGGAGTTATTAGTTTCCCAGGGCTGTAACCAAAGGTACCAAAAACTTGGTGGCTTGAAACAACAGAAGTTTATGCTTTCACAGTTCTGGGGACCGCAAGTCCCAAATCAAGGTGTCAGCTCAAGACTCTAGTGAAGAATCTGTGTGTGCCTCTTCTGTCATCTGGTGGCTGCCAGCATTCCTTGGAGTTCCTTGGATTGTGGCCACATAGCTCCAGTGTCTGCCTCCACCTTCACCTTACTTTCTTCTGTGTGTGTGTGTCAAGTCCTCCCTGCCTTTTCATATAAGGACACTGTGGTGGCATTTAGGGTCCATCTGGATAACCCAGAATAATATCACCATGTCCAAATCCTTTACATAATCACATCTGCAAAGAGTCCGTTTCCTTATAAATTTCCAGGCATTAGAACCTAATATCTTTGAGTGGCCTTAATTCAGCATACTATAGAGAAGTATTTCTCTGCCCACTGATGTTGAATTTGACCAGAAGACTTAGCTTTGGGTGGCAGATATTAGCAGGTTGGGCAAGAGCAGAGGCTTGAAAAGTACTTCCACAACTAAGCTTGGCCCCTTGCACTCTTGTCTTTCAAGCCTCTGGTAGCAGCTTGCGTTCATTATCTATTACTGCATAATAAATTATCACAAAACTTGGTGGCCTAAAACAAACGTTTATTATTGTACAGTTTCTTTGGGTCAGGGATTTGGGAGATTAACTGGGTACTTCTGCTCAGCATCTTCTATGATGCTGCAGTCAAGATGCTGGCCATGTCTGTAGTCACCTCAGGCTTGACTAGGACTAGAGGATTGATCCACTTTCAGGATGCCTCATTCACACAGCTATTGGCAAGAGGCCTCAGGTTCTCATCACAGGGGCATCTTCATAGACTTACTTGAGTGTTTTACAAGATGGCTGGCCTCCCCCCTAGCATGCAATTCAAAAGAACAAGGAGGAGGCCACAATGCCTTTTATGACCTAGTCTTGGAAGTCACACACAGCCACTTCCATCTTATTCTCTTGGTTCAGAGTGAATCACTAATTCCAGTCCACACTCAAGGGGAAGGGAATTAAGCTCCACCTCTTGAAAGCAGGAGTGTCAAAGAATTTGTAGACATATGTTAAAATGACTACACAACTGCTCCTCCATCCAGAGACCTAGAATGAAACATATGGAGACAATCGACCCCAACCAACTTGCATAAACACGAATCTGCAACAAATGCATATTGTTGTATGCCTTTGTGGCTGTTTGTTATGAAGTAAAAGCTGACTGATACAGAACTGTTGCTTTTTGGATTAATTAATTGTCCAAAAATAAAGTGGAAAGGGGCAAGGGTAATGAACTGGGGCGGCCAGCACCTT